TAGTGCGGCCGGAGCCACTGTCGAGCCACGTAGGCTCTCACTAAAATTTGGGTCGGACCAGGTCGGCCTACAATCCAAAGGTCTTGGGCAAGCTAGCGGGCTGGGCATTAGGTCAGGCTAGCGAGCCTGGGCTTAGGCTAGGTTTGACCATTTTTTAATTTTTTTTTCCATTGAAATCTTCTTCTTTTTTTTCCACAAAAAATGGCACTAGGCCTTGAGCGGGCCTAGTGGGCTGGGCTTTGAAACAAACAGCCTAGGCCCAGGGTCTCAGGCTCTGGCCTGGCCGGGTTGCAATTGGGTTTCGGGTGATCTGCGGGCCAATGGGTCAAATTTACACCCCTCGACAAGGGTATTAGTAGGATTACTTTTATTATTTGAGAAAAAAATTGAATAATTTAATAGACAAACAAGCAAACTACTATCAAATATTTGTTCATCATAGGATTTAGGATGTTTTTTAAAAAATTACACAAAAATAAAAGTTATGATAAAAAATTATAAATCAATTGCAAAATTACAAAGACGTATAATCAACCATTAAAACGACAAAAAAAACCCACCCTTAATACCACATTAAGAAATACAAAAAAAGAGTTCCTCCGATTTAATATACAATTATATTAGTCAAGGTACGCACCACTTAATTCGAACACCAGTTAAAAAAAAATCAGGTAGAGATCAATCTTCTATAATGCAGTACCATTTCCCTCCCTTTTTTCCTATTTTACAAATCAAGTTCAATGCCTTGTGTAAATTTATCAGGATTTAGATACAATTTATCAGAATGCTAATTACATAAAAGTCTTGCTAAAGAGTATTGTACATTTTTTATTGTACTTTCATAAAAAATATAAAACATTTTTAAACTTCTTAACATATGTACTAAAAACACAATTTAACAAAATCCTTATATAAAAATTCCTTACTCAGATGTAAATATTACACATTAACATTTATTTAGAGCAAACAAATATACAAACAAAAAGGAAAATGGATAAAAAAGAATTCCACAATTGAATGCCACAAGGGAATCAAGCTTGCATCAAATTCATATTTCCTAAAATGCAAAATATAAGAAAGCATAAACATACAAAAACAGCACAAAGGATGCCCAAAAATGAGGATATCAGGAATATACAATTTCCCAGAGCAAAAAAAAACTAGCTCTATCAGAGCAAATCTACAACAAATTAAAATAAACCCTAAAAACAAAGACGAGATATATTTCACCCTTCTCCAAGAAAGAGAAACTTGCAAAAAGAATAATACGCCAGAACATCGTGTATATATATATTTGCTTGCTAAGATACCAGCAGCAATAGCAATGTATGGATTTTCCCAATACAATACCATTTTCCAATTAAATGAAAAAAGTTTTTTATTTTCACTTCCTCTTGTCTGTCCCAATTGTGAGGAGCTCAAAGCTCCGAAGAGAACCATCATGGGGTTTTGAGGATGTAGCACGCGAAAAGGGCATTCCCCTGGGCTCGGATCCAGCTTGGAACCTTTGGCTAGTGGACAGTCTTCCATTGCCCGAGACCAACCTGCTTGATCGACCTTCAGTGGGCTCAGAAGAGCTCGGTCTGAAACTTGAAATTATACCCCGTTTTGATGTGCTTCCATGCTGAGAGGAAAAAGTGCGGCCTCCCCTCTCAGAATCGAGTTGCTGGTAAAGAAGCAAAAATATTCATTAGAATATATCCCATACATATATTTACAGATTTTGATATATAATCTTAAGAATTCTAAAGCTCAGTCAAGCACAGCTTTTTTCTCACGAGCTCCTTTGTATGGCATGCATTACATATCTAACAATTTGTAATTATGTGTACAACATCCTGTATTTTTATTAAATTTATTGATATTAGATTTTGCATTAAATTTACTAATCTATTATTCAGCTTTTACACATTTAAATAAATTTCAATTTATTCAATGCGTTTTCAAAATCTTTTTCTGTTTCTATACTAATCAAAACAACACACCAAAGGAAATTTTAATCCTTCATAGCAATTAAATATTTTTATTCAGCTCTACTCTATTAGACACATCCGGGTGGTAACCTCAAAAACAACCTGAGTTCAGAAAGGACAGCAGAGGAGAAGTCAAATTCAATGAGCATAATATGATCTACAGCCTCTGGGAGCAAACAGCCAAAATACTCTAGTTTATATTTTATTTCACATATTTATTCATATATTTTTTTTAAATTGAGCACATTTTATGCCAGGAATTATATGCAAAAAATAATCAAGAACAAAACCACCATTAGACTACACTAAAAAGAAGACTACACTAAAAAGAAGCAAACAACGAATAATGGCCAATCAAACAAACAAGAATAAATGAGGAAGGACAAATGTAAAAAGAAAAAAATAATAATATGAAATTCTTTTCTCATAACTTACCACATCCTTGGAAGATGTTATGTCATTTGACGCTTTGTGCCTTGAATGATCACCGTGAAAACCACTACCTGATGTGTTTCTTCTACCAAATGCTTCCACGGCACCTGAGAATCTATCCCGAATCTCTTGTCCCACTGGAATCATAACATAGCCAGCATTTAAATCTATGAGACACAGAACAAATTTCTTTCTCGAATTTTATTTCTTAAACTTAATGTAAGTTTACATAAAATGTCTAAAATACGATTTTTCTTTAAGTTTAATAACTAAAATACCATTTTTTTGTCGATTTTACTCAACAAAAATAGACAGATGGTTTAGATTGAAAATAAACTGAAAGATTAAGGTTTAAATTGACAGAATTAAAAATTCAAGATTTATTTTGCTGCAATGGGCCAAACCTTGGGATTTTTTTCGTAATTTCCCCAAATAAGAATTGATATGGTTAATTTTTATAATTTTATTGCTACTAGTGTTTTTGTCAATTTCAGGATATTTACTGTATAATGTATTCATTATTACATAAAATTAGAATTTTATTTTATATTAGTTTTTTTGGGAAAATTACAAAAAATGGAAAGATGACAAAATAATTACATTTTAATGGGAATTTTTCTAAAATTACAACACAAGAGAATACAAACAAATACTACAAACACAGAAAATTTTATTTTTGAAGACAATTTTACCCCTCCTCTCTCTCTTTCTTCTGTCCTCTCTCTTCCTCTTCGAATCAAGCTTGCATCAAATTCATATTTCCTAAAATGCAAAATATAAGAAAGCATAAACATACAAAAACAGCACAAAGGATGCCCAAAAATGAGGATATCAGGAATATACAATTTCCCAGAGCAAAAAAAAACTAGCTCTATCAGAGCAAATCTACAACAAATTAAAATAAACCCTAAAAACAAAGACGAGATATATTTCACCCTTCTCCAAGAAAGAGAAACTTGCAAAAAGAATAATAAGCCAGAACATCGTGTATATATATATTTGCTTGCTAAGATACCAACAGCAATAGCAATGTAGGGATTTTCCCAATACAATACCATCTTCCAATAAAATGAAAAAAGTTTTTTATTTTTACTTCCTCTTGTCTGTCCCAATTGTGAGGAGCTCAAAGCTCCGAAGAGAACCATCATGGGGTTTCGAGGATGTCGCACGCGAAAAGGGCATTCCCCTGGGCTCGGATCCAGCTTGGAACCTTTGGCTAGTGGACAGTCTTCCATTGCCCGAGACCAACCTGCTTGATCGACCTTCAGTGGGCTCAGAAGAGCTCGGTCTGAAACTTGAAATTATACCCCGTTTTGATGTGCTTCCATGCTGAGAGGAAAAAGTGCGGCCTCCCCTCTCAGAATCGAGTTGCTGTAGTGGTGGTGGTGGTGGTGGAGGGTGGGGGAGAGTGGGCGAGGGGTGGTTGGGGCCGAGGGAGGGCTACCAGGGTTGCAGCAGAGCGAAGGAAAATGAAGAGAGAAGAGGGAGGAGAGAAGAGAGAGAAAAAGAGAATTTGTTTTCAAAATAAAATGGGGTAAACTATCAATAAATCCTAATAGTTGGACTTAATTCCCATCAAGTCATATTGAAAATAAGTCCTAGTAAAATTGTCGCTAAAAATAAATTTTTTGTGACGATTTTTTACATATGTCGCTAAAAATTGACAATTAATGACTTTTTTTTGTCCGTTTTTATAAATTGTAGACAAAACTTACAATTAGTGACTTTTTCCTGTAACAAATTTTCCAAACTGTTGCTGAAAATTGTAAATTAGTGACCTTTTTTTGTGACGATTTTTTTAAACTGTAGCTAAAACTTATAATTAGTGACGTTTTTTGTGACAATTTTCAAATTGTCGGTGAAAATTAATAATTAGTGATTTTTTTAATAGTATTTAATGAAAAATATCATTAATTATCATATGACCTATTGGACAATAAGTCCACTTATTAAGATTTATACGTCAGTCCCCCAATAAAGTTTTCCATTTGTTTAAAATTGTCTTCCCACATGTAGTGTTAAAAAGCTTCCCACTAAAACGCAATTATTTTGCCATCTTCCATTTTTCTGTAATTTTCTAGTTTCTGTACTGCAGCCACTTGAGAAAAATTCTCTCTATAGTACTTTACCCCTTGACTGTTAGAAAATTGGCACATGCATACTAGTGCTCATGCTAATTACAGTAGAACACACCTGAAGGCCTTTCCGCTCTTTCACCAGATGGTCCAGCATTCAAAACTGGGTTTACCCCTGCCTGCTGAAGTGGACACAAGAGCAATGGAGTAAGAAACATAAACACAAACACACAAAATGAAGTCAACTTAACAACAAATACAAGCACTCACCCTTTGTCTTGAACTAGCACCAATCTGAGGGTACTTCAATATTGTCCAATCAAATACGTAATCAAACTGATAACCTGCACAAGCAAACCAGTGAACCACATCAAGAAACTGAAGTTTAGAACAGCATTATTGAAGAATATCTCTAAATGAAATTACTGATTTAGTCCCTCATTTGGAATGTGTTAACTTCCCCTCTTGGTTTTAATACCATTTCCAAATTTGTTCAATTTAAATTAATGTTCACTATTTGAAGACATTGAAAACCCAATAAAACAATTAAAATGCCTTTATTTTCTCAAAGAACCTAGTTTAAACTGATTGTTGACTTATTAGTTGATAATTGACAGTAGCTTATTTAAAAAACAAAACACTGATGTGTTGATGATTGTTGCCTAAGTTGATTTCAAATACAGATAAGGCATTTCACTTGGCACATGTTAATCAGTAAATATCAACAATCAAAAATTCCTATTCACCTACAAATGAAAATACACTTGAAATTAGCATGGATCTCAATGATGAGCTACATGCATACCATCTGAAATAAACCGGTAAAGTAGGAAACATAGAGTGCTTCGAAATTGAAGTGGAGGCTCCTCTCAACAAATTTAACGAAATATTTGCATAAAAAAAATAATTGATGTTGGACTACCAACTTCATTTTTCATAATAGAATAATGACAACAACAAAATAATAATAATAATATACATGGAAAACAAACATTGTAATTATATCAACAACAACAAAACAGAGATTGCTCACTTCTTTCCAGAGGATAATGAAGAAAACTGATACTGGCTTTGGGATCAATATTTCTAAATAATATTTTGGAACCAAAAACCACCCAGACCATAACCCCAAAACCATTTCCACTGTTTATTTATTTATTTTCAAATTTGAAGGAATTGTTCAATTGCTAAAACACCTTGTTTAACCACCTACAGGCTTTTTGGGAACTGCATGGTGTTTATAGCTTTATATATATAGCTTACAGGTCTTGAAATTAGAAAGCCATGTTCACAGAATCATCTGACTGCTTGTTTAGCAACCTTTTAGACCTGTTCACAGTGATTCTAAACCAGATCATTCCAAGGCAAGTTCAGGTTATCAGCTGGAAACACTTAAAAGCCTAAAAAGCCCGCCTATGGACAAAGAATTAACAAGTAGAACCTCAAGGATCTGACCTTCTCGAATAAATAAGTCCCGGAAGAGTCTCTTCAGATAAGCATAATCTGGTTTATCCTCAAATCGTAATGATCGGCAATAATGGAAGTATGATATGAACTCTGATGGATAACCCTTGCAAAGGACCTGTTAAATATATTTTAATATTTAATAATATTATGTCTCCAGTTCTTGCTGTGGGGTGAGGAGATGAAGTATAATACCTCTATTGAAGTAAGCATCTTCTTTTCACTAATCTTGTCATATTTCTGCTTTTTGGTTCCAGCCTTTAACCCCTGCCAGGGAAGGCTGATGCACAGGAATATATAGCAAATCAGGACAGCAGTAAAAACATGTAACCAAATTCTTGTATAGAAACAAACTAAAACGATTGGATACTGAGGGTTACACAAGCACTATAGGATATTCAACCTGCCCCTGAGGAAATACATAAGCACATAACCAAGAGATTCCAGATCATCTCTTCTGCTTTGCTCTGTAGACAAAGCAAATAAAATTCAAATTGCAAAAATAAATAAATAAATTAAATTAAATCACATGTAATGCAAAATTACATTAAAAAAAGTTCAGTGATTAGTTGGAATACATAAATGATGCAGCACTTACCAACTCCAAGGTGAGTGTTGACACTAGCATACCGAGCTGTGCCTGTAAGATTCTTGTTTTCCCTGTAAAGAAAAATCATATTGACAATGAAGCATCAATTCTTGTAATTGTGGAAGAATACACTCAAAATCCATAAGAATGACAAAAACAAAGAAATAAGGAAATCACTTCAGACAACAGCTATATTAGAATGTTCGTGGAATTTGAACAAGTGGGGTTATAACCAGAGCTAAAATGGCTGCATCCACAGCCCTCCTAATATGGAGATTGGAGGGGCCACCACGTAAGACAGTGGGCCATGGATGCAACAAAAGGGTTGTGAATAAGAAAGCAAATGAATACATCATAGAAGACCAGAACATGTGCATGTCAATGAAGATACTGTCATTGCACATTCCAATAGCAAACCAATGTCCAAGAAGATGTCCAAAAAAAGTTTGGTCAGTCGTCCCAAAAGCACAAGGCTCCTACTTATAGTAGGGTTTGCAAGATGTAATAGGTAGCTAACCTTCCCCCCACTTTTTTTAGAGAGATTGATTACTATGACTTGAACCCACGTCACAATACTAGGAATGGATAGCACTTGTTATCACCCCAGGTCACAAACTCTTGCAAAAAGATTTTGGTTCTTATACTTTGTTTTCTCATACTTATGGCAGATGATCAAAGGCTAAAATTGAAATTAAAAAACTCTATTGAATCAACACATCCAGAGGAACTTTCAGTTGAAATTAATGAATTTCGTTATAGTCTAGAGGGGTGTTCTGATTCCAAAATATTACATTGTGACATGACAACTATTTAAATAAATCTTTAAAAAACTACTTCAATGGAAATTCAGAAAGATATTTTTTTTTATGTCATATACAATAATTTTTTACGAAGAAGAGTAACTTTTCAAAAGTTACAACAAGAATGCAGTTATTTTTGTTTTTGCCAACCTTAAAATCTAACTCCCCTGGATCCCCCCATAACTAAAAGAATTACAACTAAGCAAAGTCCAAAAAAAAATTAAAACTAAAAAAAAACCAAAAAAAAAAAAAAAAAAAAAAAAAAGATCAACACTACTTTCACCCCAAAGATGGGCAAGGTTGATGTATGATTTGACAAAATGATAACTTATAAAAGAAGCCAAACCATTATCAGTGTAATCAAAGTCCTAGTATTTTGAACAAGCAAAGCTCTTGAGTTTCAATAACACAAGTACAAGGTAAACATGTAAGTGGTAACATCTCATGGAACCAAAAAGGGACAACATGTATATCAGAACCCAAAAGGGACTTAGCACATTAACATGTCATGAAGCTGCAAACCTACAAAACGTGACCCACACAAAATTGAAAAACATGGCAGCAAGAACTGCAACAAATCATGATGCAGTATTTTTCTTTACTCTGTAAGCTAGATGCAACTTCTAGGGGTAACATGAAAAATTATAAAGGCAATACCTGTATGGTATGTGCTTATGAGTTTGAAGATCCCTATACTTTTTTGCAAGGCCGTAGTCGATGATATACACCTATTGCATGATCAGCCAATTAAAAAATACTTCAGCAAAATATAAACTTCATTTCATTAACTTTTTACTCCATGAACAGGAACAATAAAATAAAGACGACTGCCCAATATGATGAGACAAAGGCCAACAACTGTTACACTATGCATTCGAATACAGGCATGCAATGCAGAATTCACAAATAAATTGTAAAACCGATTCAATTGAAATTGGATCTATCATATCCCCAGACTCTAAATAGAGAAGGTCATCGCAAACACCTAAATCCTATATGCTCATAAATATGAGAGCTGCTTTCCAACCTATATACAGGATGTCAAACGTGGCAACTACCTAAAAGCTGGACACAAGGGCATGACAATAGATGCATATTATCTGAGAATTCACTGTAATTAGAACAAATATGTTGGAGTTCAAGTTAATATATATAGCTGGAAAGGCAATAGAGTAAGGAAATGATAAAAAATGAATGGCTTCACCATCAGTTTCATGATATAAAGGCATAAAAAAGGTTTTTTTCAACAGAATTTTAATGTAAGAGCGGTGAACGTGTATGTAAGTATATAAGTCATCAAAAAAGTGTTTAAACTGTTGTGGAACACAGGAATCATCTCAAAAAATGTCCGAACTTGCCTATCATTTTACTTCACAAAATTTAATTAAAAATATATTTACATGCTTTTTTTTTGCAAATTAAAACAAACAAACAAATTTAAATTTATCCCAACACCCAATGAACATGTTGCCAACTTAATCACTCATTGAAGAACAGAGCCATATTACTTCCTTTTCTAGATGTAAATAAATTGAATTTCTTCACTGAATCCAAAAATGAACATAATACAATTACAAAATCTACATGCAAATAGCAGTCATAAAAGAGATTTTTTCATGAAAATGGTGTTTGTATGTCTTGAAGGAAATGCATGCAACGTAACCGCTTGCAAGAAGGATGAGCACAATATGAAATCAAGAACCTGATTTGCTTTTCGTCCCAAACCCATTAGAAAATTATCAGGCTTTATATCCCGGTGAAGAAAACCCCTTGAGTGCATATACTCAACTCTGTTAATCTGACAAAACGAAAGAAACGGTCAAAGTGAAAGCTAAAAACCTAGACAAAAAAAAAAAGCTGAAAAAGTCAAGTTGTACAACGTACTAACTGATCTGCTAGCATCAACACCGTTTTCAAAGAGAGTTTTCGATTGCAATAGTTGAACAAGTCTTCAAGACTAGGACCGAGAAGGTCAATAACCATGACATTGTACTCGCCATCAAGTCCAAACCACTTCAGATGGGGAACTCCCGCTTTAAGATAAATGCATTATTTGAGACAACATTGATTTGTACGTAACACAAATTTATCTAGATTGTGGTAGTCTCATAAGTGTGCTGAATCATAAAATTAAATCCTATTCCTAGAGGAGACAAACAACAGGGACTTACTTCCTCCTTGCAGGAGCATGTACAATTTGGACTCATAGTGAAGCTGAGGGTGCTTGGTTTTTGCAGATTCCTGAAATTTGCAAACCAAAAAACAATTTAACAAAAAAAAAAAAAAAAAAAGAAGAAGAAAATTATTTTGAGACCTCATTGGTTTTCATGCAGTAAATTGGGAAAAACAATTTATAATTGTTGGCACCAAAGATAAAGAAGCTGATTCAGTTGCAAGGCTGCAATAAAGGCAACAAAGACTTATAAGTTTAGCAAACTGAGAATGGAACAGAAAACACGGAGATTCAATCATCTTTCAAAAAGGGATGCAGCCATGTTGACAAGACAATCATATCATTTTCAAACGTATCTGGGCAGGGTTACATATATCTGATGGGGTTACCAAAAATTGTTATCACCTTTGATCAGCAAGAGAGTAAACAACTCTTCAGCAATGTTGTACCATTTTTTATTTTTTATTTTTTTTTGTTGGTCGTCAATTCCAACAAATTATGCAGTGGATACAAATGGTGGCCTAGATATTGCAGATGTTTTGATTACACTATATCTTCAATCCAATTTGGTCTTAATAATAAATTAGTAATTGCATTTTTTACGTAAGTAAATCAGTAATTGAAATTTGCTAGGATGGTTATAATAAAACCCGAAGAGAGGAGAAAAAAGCTTTAGTATAGTACTGGGATATAATAAATTCATGATTAGCAAAAGATAAATAAATTACTCAAGAAACTCAACAAATTTACAAATTTAGTTAATATTTATAGATCTGGAAAAAAAAAAAAATGGGTATATTATAAGATTTGTTGGTACTCAAAATTATACAAGTTAAGTAGGCAGCAGCAGAGAAAGAGATGATTGAATAAAAAAAATTAAGAATAACAAACATTTCTTATCTTGGACATAGAATTTCAAAGGTTATTTTCTGTCAAAGTCCAATGTCATGTGCATGGAAACATATATTGATTGAATTGAATGTTTTCAGGTTGAACGTGTCTACCAATGGCGAGGAGCCACATTCTCACTAATCACAACCAAGAAAGAAGAAATAGCACTGTTGCTTCCTTCTTATCTGCTTGACTGAAGGTGTCACTTCCAAGCCAAATGCAATGCACAGGCATCAGATCCAAAACCCATGAACTGAACTATCTAGGGGTTTTGGAGCCATGATGTAAAGATCTTTTTCTTTTTTCTTTTTTTATTTTTCCTAATAAACTTGCTGTAAGGAGGACCAATAAACTTCCAGCAGTCGGAAGAGAAGTTATATGTCATCTTATAATGTAAGACTATACCTGATCCATCATTCCTTGCAACATCCTAATGTCACACCCACATTCAGAAACCATTTTATGTTCTAAAACCCATAGGAAACTTCAAATGGATTTCTTTCTGAGAGGGAAAAGTCACCAAATAGTACGGACTATCATTTAAACCCCCGAAAGGTACTTTGAACCAAATTAATAGAAATGCAAGAGGATGAGAGAGAACCCTAATTCTCTCTCTCTCTCATCTTCCTTTCCTCCTCCTCCACCTTCTTTCTGATAAATCTAACTTCCAACTGTATACACTATTACTTTTGAAAACATCACTTCGTCAAACGAAAAATGAAAGCATCCATCCTTGTTATCCGAACGCTCAAATGGCACACATGAAAAACATCCCAACCCCAGTGGCAGATAGGCCAGATGGAACACTAAGATGTCAATTTTAACAGTACACCTACCAAATTTAACAACATAATGGCTACATATTTCAAATTTTGCATTGCAAATTATATTATGATTGCAAATCCAATCCACATCAATGCTTTCTTTTCATTTTAGGACAATATCTCCTACTATTAACAAACCTCTCCTTTTTTTCTTTTTTTCTCCTTGCTCTAGTAAATCTGTTTACTAAAAACATTACCAACCAGAAGTTTTCAAAATTGTTAGAAAAAGGTAATTCATAATGGAAACAGATGCCAGTATCCCTTTTCTTTTTTTCTTCTTTTTGTGTAAGTAATCAATGATTCAGTTGCAATGACAACAAACTCAGTATCTTTTTGTGTAAGTAATCAATGATTCAGCTGCAATGACAACAAACTCTATATCTTATCCTCAATATTTAACATAGATTTCAGTATAAGACCCATACCATCTTAATTGCAACTTCCTCTCCAGTCTGTATGTTAACACCTGAATCAATCAGCCCACATCACAGATCAACTTTATCAGAATAAAAGACATGTAACAATTACAACAACAAAACAAAAGTCAAGAAAGCTAAACAAGATCCCAAATGGGCAACATACCCAGATAGAGCTCGCCGAAAGATCCACTGCCAATCTTTCTTCCCATCTTGAACTTACCACCAATCACATGATCCATGATTAAATTGTGTCCAAAACCACAAACCCAATTGCCCAAAAATCACAAAAACAAAAACAGTCTCAACCCTTTTTCAACCAGTTAGACCCAATCCCTAACTTCAACCACATTCAATTCTTTCCAATTCTCCAAATTCACAATACCAATTGACCACACACTTATTTCTTCACTCAACAATGAATTTTATCTATAACAATCATATCAAAACTAACTTGAAACCAGCCAGATCTTCCCTTCAATCACAGATCTACCACCCAGATTTCAACTAAATCTTTAATTGTAATATCAAGAACCTACATTGCTCAATATCAATAAGATTCAACAAAATTGAATGAAAATATCAGCTTATGAATCAAAAATTAAGGGGAAAAAATCTATGGACAACGAATATAATGCTGAGAGAGTACAAATTTGAGACTTTTGAAGGAAGAGAGAGAGGGACAAAAGATCGATGAGAGAGAGATGGTGTCAAAAAGGAAAGGTAAAAGATTGGTGGGTAAAAAAAATAGTAATTTATTATTTGTCAATGGTTTTTTTGTTTTTTTTTTTTTAGTTTGAATGTAGAATAATTTGTTTTTTTGTTTTTAAAAAATTGTTTCGAGAAAACGTTTCGCTATTGTTCCTATCTTCATCTGTTGTCTTTGTTGCTTTTGCTTCTTCTTCTCTCTCTCTCTCTCTGTCTCTGTTACGAGCCTCCTACAGTAAGGAAGACGGGTAGGACCCGCACGTGCCAAATGCGTGTTTTTTTTTTGTTTCCTTGTGTGTGTGGTGTGGCCATTTGATGCATATCTGAAAGTAAGGGATTCTTTGGGGAGCACGTAAATAAGTTTAAGTTTGACTATCTTAAAAAAGTGTACTCTTTTTTTTTTTTTTGGTCACATCAATCAACATCTTTTTTTTTTATTTTTTTACACATAATATAAAAAAAGTCAAAAAATAAACTTATTTAGTATTTTCAAACTTGGCAGTATACTTATTTGATAAGTGTATTTATTTTGATTATATTATTTTTTATTTTTTTAAAATAAATTACAAAGTGCACTAATTAAACAAATCTCAAATAATTCCTTGTTTCGGAAGTTGGGTTGAGGTGGATTGAGATTAAAATAGTCACAAAAAAGATAAAATAGATTTTTTAATTTAATAAAATAAAATGTTACATCTAAACCATAATCATTTTTTTTTTTCTACAAAAGTCAAAAACATCATCCTAAATGATACTCTTTAATCCTAGATTAAAATAGTCAAAAGTCATCTTATATCCCAAACGAGCCCTAAATTTTGGTTTTACATTTTATTAAATGTCAATTAATAACTAAAAGTGTGACGTCACCTCATCTCAGTTACAATGTATACATTATATGAAATATTTTATTGAAATGATAATATACTATTTTTATTTTATTTTTTTGTTACTCTTAGAACTTAGTCTAACCTAAATTTGAAAAAATTACTGAGTATTCTCGGAGCACTATATATCCATACTCTTTCATTAATCATTATTTATCATACCCTCTCATATTCTTTAATCACTCAACACAAAATTATGAATCTCGCCTTCCTCACCAATCATAATATTCTGAAACACTACGTGACCGTGCTCCAAAAGTACCTAATAACTTTTTTCTAAATTTGATTAATAAGCGAACACCCCACATGGAATTTGAACTCACAACCTCTACAATGAGAGTTAGAGACCATACTATTGTGGCACAAAAAGAATGGGAATCACCCCTAATACTTTCCATGGAGTTTGAACTCACAACCTCTATTATAAAATATTTGAGAGCACATCACTCTATGTCAAATCCAAACCCGCCCTAATAGGTTTAACTTATGACCAGCCAGTAATCGCGGATTACCTTTGGCCTCAAAAACAAAATCAATCACAATGTATTAAACGGGGCTTAGCGGAAGCAATAATAAAATGTACAATGAACCATTGAACAGTGCATACATTCAAATTTCATAATAAATTTAAACTTTAAACTTCATACATCGATGCATTACTGCAAATCTAAAGTTATCTTGCATTACAACCATTCACAACCAAGTTCCTAAAAGACAAAACCACAAAACTAAACAAAAGGGTTGACAAGCTTGGCTCCACTTGAGTCCAAGTACACTCCATCACGGAGGCACTCCAAAACGGCTTCACAAGGATGGACTCTGAGCCTTCTTGTTCCACTTGCTCATCTACATATATATATATATATATAAAAGAGAGAGGGGTAAGCTGGAGCCCAGTAAGTAACATTAATATAAAGGATTTAATGAATGAAGTTCATGATTTCTAAAAGCATATCTTTTCAATAACCAAAACAATTCAAATAACAATCATATATTCAATCATATCAAAACCTTGCGTTAACAATAACCATTCACATTATTATACATGGTAACATTCAATAGAGTAATGATAAATCAATGTGTCGAAGCCAATAGAACAATTAAGGTCAATCTAATGGAGCCATAACGGGTCAATCAAGGAACCACAATAGGTGTCAATCAATGAACCATAACGGGTTATTCAATGTGGACTACTAGGGTCTAACATCAGAAATCTCTATTTTTCAATTAATCCAATAGGCCATGGTATTGTTTTCCCTAAGTGAGGGCCTCACTAAAGGATGTCACGATTACAAGTTAAAAAATTATCTTCAGTCATAGATAACAAAATAAGATTTCAAAATGACATTCTTGACTAATTCAAAATACTTTCATAGCTTTATAAAGACATTACTCATGGTGGGTTTGTATCAATATTAAGCCTCAGGTGACCACCTACACAAAACACACAATAAAGGCACACATTGAAACACATGTCTTAAACAAATGCTCTATTTGAATTTAATTATCTTCTATGTATTTCTAACTCATTTCCTCATTAATGATGTCTAAACAATGCATAAGAACGGAAATATACACTTAAAAGTATTTTTCAAAAGTTGCTGAGACAGGGCAATTCACTTGAAAGCACTATTAGTCGCTCGAGCGGACCACATGGTCTACAAAAGTACTAGATGGTCGAAATCTAGGCTTAATAGTCGCTCGAGCCAAGAGTAATGGAAAACTGAGTTCGCTCAAGCGCACCCTCGGTCGCTCGAGCCATGTGTAATGTGTTTGTAAAACTACTGAGATGCATGCAAAATGCGCTCGAGCGTTCGCTCGAGCAAAGTGGTTTTATTCTGGAATTTCCAGAATTGAAATCAAGTTTGAAAACACGAGTTTAAGTTATATAACTTGCATGGCTGGACCCAAGAACATGGAAAACTCTTAGTAAAACATTATTATAACCCAATTTAGAACCATGAGCTTAGAAATACCATGGATTGCCAAGTGTGGACACCAAATTCTTCATGCATGTATGTATTTATCTTCAAACACGAAATTAAACCTTTAAATGTTTGAAATTCTTTGATGCATGTAGAATTCAACCCTTAATTTCACAAGAACACTAAAATTCAAGTCCAAAATAATCATATGTGATGGAATTATGCATACACGTCCTAGAATTAGCTAATTTCTTCCATAGTTAAGTTGATTCTAACATTTTCTTTCTAATAACATGCAAATGATCTTATATATTTCATGAATTCATCATCTACATGGATTATCTATAAGAATTATGGTTGTAATTCATACCTAGAGCTTGAATTTGAAGTTTGCTAGCCTAATTCCTTCAATTCGCCTTCAATTTTTCTCTCTCACTCTCTCTAATTTCAGCCACAAATTGATGAATATGAGCTCATAATCATGCTTATAACATATTTATAGGGGTGGATTAAGTTAGACTAATTAAGTAGAATTAAGTCTAATTAAACTAGCTTAAGTCTAATTAATTCTGATTGATTTATTCTAACTATTTTAGTCTGAATCAAATTTTAATCAAACTTGCCATATGATTCTAAATATTCTAATTAACCTATTGAACTAGTCAATTTCAGTTTTAGAATCTGTTAAAGCTTCCAATTTCTGATTCAAAGTAAGCAATTAAACAGATATTCCATAAACAAATAGATAAGCAAAAAATTAACACATAATTATGCAAATTTTCTTAATAACATAATATACAAAAATGATATGCACGTTGGAGCCGTCACACTTTGGCACAAGGTCATAGGAAAAAAATACACTAATGTTAACACATAATAGAAACATAAAATTTTTATTAAGTTTGAGGTTTATTATGAATATGGACCCATTATAATTAGGTTCAATCTCAATCATCCATTAAAAACATATAAAAATATATTAACAAATTGAGCTTTATTTTGAACATGGATTCCACCATAACAGTCATGTTATTACCCAGTGGTTGTGTGTGTGTAAATAAATGTATAAATAAAATAAACAAAGGAAATTAAATAATTCAGAAATTAACTTAACGAATTAAATTCTAAATTAAATGCTTGCAGAAACTTTAAATGTCGAGGCTTATGTTGGACACAATCTCCTTAGAGTAGATTTCGTCCTCGTTCCGGTGCTTCGAGATTTATTGGTTTCTATTTCCCAGGATGCAACAACTACTACTACTTGGTTTGTAGCACTACAAACTCAAGTTTGGCGAACCAAAACTCTGCTGCGACTCTCTTTTTTTATTTCTAAAATTAAATGATAGACAGATGCAAAAAACAGAAAGATGGAAAAGGAAGAAGAAAGACGAAATGCTTAGAAAAAATTAGATGGATTGAATTGCTGGAATGACATGCTATATATAAGAGAATTTGTGGCTTTTCATAACAGGTGTCAACAGATAGAAATCCTGTTCGGACAGATTCAACAGGCAGAAAACCTATTTGGACATATTTGAACAGAAATAGATCTGTTTAGGTGGAATTTCAACAGGTATGAACTTGTTCGGGTGGATTCTAACAGGTATGAACCTGTTAAGGTGGAGGGAAAAAATTGGATAGATTTATTTTGAATTTTGAAAACGAAATTCAAAATTAAATAAATAAAATATAAATGTTTTTGGCCCAAAAAGATAAGTATTGGGTCAAACAAGCCCAATCCAATCTCACACCATGCATCAAAGCCTAAGCCCAGCCAGAACGGACGGCGACGACGATGCATGCGCATGTTTTTGTTTTGGGTCTAATGGGTCTAGCCCACTTTACCCATGACCTCACCCTACCACAAAACTTGGGTACCCTTTGGGGTCCATCCCAATTATGGCAAGCTAGAGTTTATATACCCATATAAATCCTTAACCATTTCCAATGTGGGACAAACAGATTTCACAAATGTGTAAGAAACCCACCTAAAGCTATATCCACGAACCTGAAAATACACGTTGAATTATCATTCGTTCGGAAATGGTTTTGAGCAACCAAACACACGATATTATTTACTATGCGACATTAAACACGAACCCAATTAGAAATGTTAAAGATAACGCTTGGGTCCTACCTTAATTAATGCTCAAAGTTAGTAAAAAATAAGGTTTTACAAAGTCATTTTCCAACAATTCCCCACATGAATGAAATTTACGATAACGGACATATAACAAGATGCAGACAAAGAAAGAGTACACTAAGAAGATACACCACTTTGAGATAGGTAACTTTTGGCTTTGAACCTCCTCTAGTGAAAGTTTATTGGACTTACTGGCTAACCAGTGGACACGATACCTTGAATTGTTCAGCTGTTTGTGTAAGCCAAGCCAATAGACGG